TGGGGGTGATGTACAGGGTGAGCGGCAGGAGCCTGTGCAGCCCCCATCCAAGGGGCACAGGGGCGGCTCACCCACGTCAGCATCAGCCGAGGCAGCTATGAGGCGTGAATTTCTGGTGAGGGCGAAGGGACGTTCTCTTCGGATTGCTTCTATTTGGCTGGGGGTGGGGGTGGACAGGAAGGGAAAGAAAGGCAGGGCATGGTCCTCCAGGGAACGACCAGGGAAGGGGGGCCGTGCTTACTTCACTTGAGTGACCATGAGCTTCAGTGGAGACGGTCACTCGGCTGTGTGCCCTCCTCCAGCCACACGTGTCCTCATGGGGTTGTGCTGAATGGACAGAGGTTGAGAGCCAATCAGAGGCCACTGACATGAGTGTGGCGCATGTGTTTGTCTCTGAGTACAATGTGTGGAAAGGGTCAGTGTGCCCCATAGATGTTCAAACGGAAGGCACAGCCATAGCTGATTAGAATCGTGTTGCTGTTCGCATCCATTCTGCTTAAATAACCTTGAGGGAGAACTATTTGCTCCAAGTCTTGTGTAAATTCCTAGGAAGAGAAATTTCTTACATGTCTCTGCCTTCTATGTCCCTGACATATCCTACTAAATACCGTGTCCCCGACATATCCTACTGAATACCGTGTCCCCGACATGTCCTACTGAATACCGTGTCCCACGACATATCCTACTGAATACCGTGTCCCCGACATATCTACTGAATACCGTGTCCCCGACACCCAGCCTACTGAATACGTGTCCCGACACAGCCTACTGAATACCGTGTCCCCGACTTGTCCTACTGGTCCCCGTGTCCCCAACATAGCCTACTGAATACCGTGTCCCGACATAGCCTATGAATACCGTGTCCCGACTTGTCCTACTGAATGCGTGTCCCGACATGTCCTACTGAATAAGTGTCCCCGACATATCCTACTGAATACCGTGTCCCCGACATAGCCTACTGAATACCGTGTCCCCGACATAGCCTACTGAATACCGTGTCCCCGACATGTCCTACTGAATACCGTGTCCCCGACATAGCCTACTGAATACCGTGTCCCCGACTTGTCCTACTGAATCACCGTGTCCCGACATGTCCTACTGAATAAAGTGTCCCGACATAGCCTACTGAATGCCGTGTCCCCGACATAGCCTACTGAATACCGTGTCCCGGCTTGTCCTACTGAATACCCATTCTTTACATGTCCCTACTGAATACCGTGTCCCGACATGTCCTACTGAATACCGTGTGTCCCGACATAGCCTACTGAATACCGTGTCCCGACATAGCCTACTGAATATGGTGTCCCTGACATACGACATAGCCTACTGAATACCGTGTCCCCGACATAGCCTACTGAATATGGTGTCCCTGACATATCCTACTGAATACCATGTGGAGTGGGTTGAAGGGTGGCCCCCAAAACAACAGGTCCACATCTAACTGGAAACTGTGGCTGGGGCCTTACTGGAAAAATGAGTCTTTGCAGATGGAGATAAGTTAAGGGTCTTGAGATGAGATCATTCTGGGTTATCCAGATGGGCCTTAAATCCAATGACAAGTGTCCTCATAGGAGACACGTAGCGGAGACACTGGGAGAAGAGGAGGACTGGTGTGAAGACGGAGGCAGAGGCTGGAGCAACGCGGCCACAAGCCAAGGAAAACTTGGGGCCACTGGGAGTTGGAGGAGGCAGGCAGGCCTCCCCGGGGGGGCTCTGGAGGGCAGCAGCCTTGCTGACGTCTGGATTTCATACCTCGGGCCTCTGGAACTATGGGAGAGTACATCTGTGTTGTTTGAAGTCCCCTCGTTTGTGGCATATTGTGCAGAACACTAACATGCTGTTTAATGTACGTTTTCCCACTTCCCCATCTACAGACCCAAAGCTCAATGCTGTAAGAGCTGGGCGGGGTTCCCACCAGGGGTGAGATGGTGACGTGGCGTCCACCCGCCTGTCAACACCCCACTCTCCTCTGCACAGTAGCTGCCGCAGTCTTTCTGCTCCAGGGTGCAGCTGTCTGAGGTACCTGCGCTGTGAGCGGACCACCCATCCTCAGCGTCTCAGACGTGCCCACCCACCTGCCTGAGCTCAGAAAGTGCCATCTGTGCAGCCCGAGTGTGCCATGGGCTTCCACTCCGCGTTCACGTCTCACCTCTCGGCTTAGGAAAACCCGCGCCTCGCGCCAAGGAACATGAAGCAGAATGTTGTGCAGCGTTAATGAGACTGTGGGCCTGGGCATCTCCCGGCTGCTGCCCCCTGGGGAGGCACTTCCATTCACCAGGGCGCCCCGCCAAAGCCCCTGCCCGATGAGGAATTTTCCCCGCTTTGAAGCTGGTGGGCCTGTGCCAGTTTGGAACACGGGGATCCAGCTCCTTGCGGGAGAATAAAAGCAACTTGCAGACAGTAAATGCTGGCAGAGATTCGGTTCTCTTTATTTTTGTCAACAAGGAGCTTTGTTTTAATGGGAACCAGCAGATTTTCCACTCCTGCAGGTCTCAACAGCAGCAGCCTGTCTTCCACCCCAGGTGGGACAGCTGCGAATCTGGGGACGGTGGGGATAAAGGATGGGGAAAGAGGGAGTGTGTCCTAGGGAGAAGGGGCCTCAGCAGCTGCAGGGCCGCTCCCGTCTCTCTCCTGGCCTTCTGCCCCATCCTGCACGTCACCCTCCAGCTCGCTGGACCTCCGCTTCGGGCATCTGATGCCACTGTCCCCAATTGCAGTCTCCTCTTTGTGAACCAACCTCAGGGTGGGACGCTGACTCCTTTCCCTCCCTTGTAAGGAGGAGGGTTGAGGAACAGAAATGCTTCCTGCAAGATGATCACATATCTTAGCCAAAGTACTTAGCCTCTCTGTGCCCCGTTTTCCTCATCTGTAAACTGGGGAACCTCAAAGCATTGTCATGAGGCTTCCGTGAGATAATGAGTGCCCTTATCACCTGGCCTGCAGAAGCAGCTGGATTTACACGTGCTAATATCAATCAGGCTTCAGCCTGCATAGGGAGAGCTGATCGGAGAGACTGTTGGTTGTGTGTGTGTTTCTGACCCAGCCAGGGTGCAAACCTCAGACACTTACAGGCCTGGAGGCTGTTAACAGTCCCACAGCTGGACCGGGCTGCCCGGGATGCCCCTCTCCTTTCCTCTGTAGACCTTGAGGCCCTGGCAGCCCTCACCTTGACCCTGATCCACTGCTTCACCTGAGGTTGGTCCACCTTCCTGGCCTTAGGAAAGGTCCAGGTGTTCCGGCTTGCTGCAGCCGCCAGTGCATGTCTCTTCCGAAGTCTGTGTTAAAATCTGCCTTGGCCAGAGAGCTTACACCACAGAAATGGGCAGATGCAGCAAATTAAGGCCTTTTCCCTGAAGAGTGAGTCAGTCATTAAGCACCCGGCAGCACCCACTGGTTCCACCCCAGTGGGCTCCTGCTGACGTTGGCCTGCCCTCCTAGGGGCCCGGGGTTCCTTCCCTGCACCCTCCCAGTGATGTGGCAGGCCCTCGGGGGAGGATGGGAAGTTCAATCATCCCGTTATCCATTTTAAAAGCCCGGATTTCCTGTGGGGTGGCCATCTGCCTTCTTAAGAAGCTGTCTTTCCTGAACAGCGGCCTGCAGATATTTGCACGGCCGTCACGGGGAGCAGGATTATTCCATATGGGCCGGGAGGGGAGAGGGAACATCGCCACGTGGATGTTCAGAGAAGCAGTTTTGCTTTTACTCTGCATGTGTCATGGGGTCGCAAAGGCCCTTCCCAGGCCCGTTTCTCTTTTCTGAAGACCCCTCAAAACTCCACTCACTTAAAGAGTACGGAGATACTGCCGCTGCAGAGCCCCTGCTGTGTCCATTTACCAAGGGCACCTATCCCCATCCCTGCTTCTGTCACCCAGCGGCCTCCCCCCTGGGAAAGAAGAATACACGCCCAGCTCTTGACACAGACCGGGTGAGAATTCAATGTCTGGCCATCAGTACATACCAGGCCCACGTTCGCATCGAATCATAGAACTACTGGGAAGATTCTCAGAGGTGTCATGTTAACTTTCAGCAAGGCCCCCCGCCTGCCGAAAGGAAGCCGATTTCTTCATCAAAGCCCCCAGCTGAGGCTTCCTGAGTGGGGACGCCGTCCCTGCCTGCATGGGGTCCGGAGCTGCTTTGGTAAATGACCAAACTGTCGGTCTGCATTGAGACCGGCAACTGCACAGCCTGGATACAAAACATGCTGTTTTGTTTGTTTTGTTTACCTTTGAAACAAATTAAAACAATTAAGACTGGATTTAAAACTGGGTTGACTGACAGTCTTTTGGGGGTGGGTGCCTGAAGATGAATCGTGAGTTAATGTCACAGGAAAAGGTTGGGTCTAATCTGGGGAATGTAAGTATTTCGCTTCCATGTTGTTTCGGTTTATGCAGTGCTTTCAGACAGGTTCACGAGGAAAGTACGTGCAGCACAGGGAAGCCACAGGTGGGTCCAGCGCGGCGCTGTGTGGGGCGAAGCTGAGAGGAGAGCTCACGGCTCCTGGCCACTGCCTCCGTCTTCGCTCCCACGTAGAATGGCGACTTTTCCCTTTCAAAAATGATAGCGTAGTTCAGTTAATTCCGCAAGTGGAGTGTCACATCTGCCGGGCGCTCATGGTTACTCGAGACTCCAATTGCGGTCTGAAATTGCCGCGGTCCTGGGAACGCGAATGCTGTGAGGTTGGAAGCTTGCGGGAGGAAATCTCCACGCCGAAGTTTGGACCACGCCTTCCCACCTCCGCGGCCACGTTCGGTGTCTGTCTTTGCGCCCTAACACCTTCAGTGGTTAGGGAACTAACCAGCTCTCCCCTGAGCCTAGACCTCTTATTGGCTTGATTTGGGGTCAGAGAAAATCGGGCTTCTCGTTGAGAAGGAACCTGTAGGCTTCTGTTCACACATACAAGTAGGTGTGGATTTGAGAGGCTGCTGGACCTGTGTGAAGAAGCAGAGTCAGGAGGGCCTGGGGGTCCATTTATTGCCGAATCCAAATGACTGACCTACTTTCCCTCCTTCTCTTTGGAATGAGACTGACTCTCCAGAAAGGCTGTGCCCCGTCCACTGTACCCTCCAGGCTGCATGACTCAATCGCAGGAAACTCAGTCCCTCCCAGTGATGAGCAATGGTGCTGGCGGGTGGGTGTCTGGAGGGACTGAGACGGCTCCCCTCCTCTGCAGAGAGACTGTTTTCAATGACCAGAGTGTGGGGAGGTCAACAGACATGCCTCACACCCCAGCCCCACAGGCAGGGCCAGCTGGTGACTCAGGGGCATGCAGGCGTGCAGAACTTCAGGTAGGCGGTGGGCCCTGAGCTGCAGAGGCTGGGGCAAGCGAGTGCGGGACCCAGGAAGAGGCACCCCGTCGGGCAGTGTTTGAGTAGAGTGCCAGAAGGTAAGCTGGGATGGTGTTGGCCTTTCTGAGGCAACATGGTGGCTGCTATGGGCTTCCGGAATGTTCTGGTGACTTCTGGAACATCTACCAGTCCCCTTGCACATAGATGCTGCAAGAGGCAGACCAGATGGCTGGTGGATTTTCCCATTTCTTCTTACAAAAGCTAAATATTTTGTTGTTGTTGCTGTTGTTCTGAAGAAAGAATCTCAGAGAATTTGAATGCCACATAAAGTAGAGCTGAAGCTGACTATATTCTTCCTACATTGCAGTGGGGGTCAGCAAACAGCCGGAGAGACCGATGAACAAACCCTTGCACGTCAGTCCTGGCCAGTCACGTGACCTTGGGCAATTTATATCCCCTCTGAACTTCAGCTCCTCCTCCCTGGGCTCCGGTGAGGATGAAGGTGAACAAGTCACGCTGTGAGTGTCTCCCGTGCCGGGCATGGAGCAGCTCTGCGAATCTCAGCTGTCAAATGTAGACCTGACCCTTGTTCAGTGCTGCCTGAGGCCAGGGGCGTTGCCAGCTCGGCTGTTCTGCAACTGCACTGTGCAATGTGGTAACCGCTGGCCAGACGTGGTTACTTAAATATTCATTTAAAAGTCATTAAAATTAAACAACATTTAAATTCATTTCTCCGTCGTAAGAGCCACATTTCAAGTGTCAATGGCCACATGTACGTAGTGGTTACCAATCGCCCGGCCCACACGTAGGATGTTTCCACCGGTGCAGAGTTCTGTTGGACTTCGGATGGCATCGGTCTGGAATCTTGGGGGACCCACAGTCAGCTGGGACACTGGCCAAAACTGCAGACCCCTGCACTGCCCTCTACAGATTCTATTCAGTGGAGTCCCGGTGATGGTCCCCAGAGTGCCAGGACCAGACACAGAGCCACGCCCGCCACGCTGACAGCTGCTTCCCCTGAGTGACACACGGAATCAAGAGGCACATTGATGGATGAAACAACTGAGGCCCAGAAACCTGCTGAGGCTCCACAGCCAGGGAGGGAACTGCCCATTAGGCAGGGGTGGAGACGGAGGGCGTTTGCTCCTCCTTTTTTTTTTTTTCTTTTTTTTTTTGAGACCGAGTGTCGCTCAGTCACCCAGGCTGGAGTGCAGTGACGCAATCTTGGCTCACTGCAAGCTCCGCCTCCCGGGTTCACGCCATTCTCCTGCCTCAGCCTCCCGAGTAGCTGGGACTACAGGCGCCCGCCACCTCGCCCGGCTAGTTTTTTGTATTTTTTAGTAGAGACGGGGTTTCACCGTGTTAGCCAGGATGGTCTCGATCTCCTGACCTCGTGATCTGCCCGCCTCGGCCTCCCAAAGTGCTGGGATGACAGGCGTGAGCCACCGCGCCCGGCCTGCTCCTCTTATGAGTAGCCTCAGCCCCCATGCTTGCTAGGGGACAGGGACTGGCACCCTTGACTCATTGGTCTCCCCAGATTACCATGTGCTGCATTCTGGACACACAGCATGGCAGGGCCGGGCGTTTCAGTGTGAAGCCCAGTGACGCCGGAACACAGGACCTGTCACAGACCCAGTGTGCTAGCCCAGTCCACCGAAAACCATCCCTGGCCCTCCAGAACATCTGAATGGAAATGATTTCCAAATGGAGGGAACTGGCAAGGGAGCCAAGAGCCCGTTTCTTGCAAATGAATCATGTAGGGCTGGCTCCAGCCAGGCCCCGGGTTTGTACAGGACTGATGCTTGTTTCTGTTCATTTAGAGCCACAGTCAGTTCTGGATTCGCTCGAGTTCTGGAAAATTCATCAGCGTGGCCCAGAGGAGGGCTCTGAATGCGCGTCTGTTGGACTGTGCGGCCGCCACGGCCGTTCTGCAACCTGCAGAGCCTCTTCCTGCGGCCCTGCGCATCCTCCCAGGCCACCATTGCCAAAGAACTTTTCCAGTTAACTCGGGCCCAAGGCAGTCTGCAGTCCCAAATCAGTCCTTCACATGACTGTAAGCAGATACCACGCCATGCCGGATGGTTCCGTGTCCCCATTCAGTCACCAGATCTCCGAAGTGCACCAGCTTTAGCCAGCTTGGCCGCTAGCACTGCAGTGACAAAGGGGGACAAAGCACAGCCCCTGCCTTTGCAGAGTTCCAGTTTGGTGGCAGTGACACCCTTGTCAGCAGCTGGCTACAGCCCACTGGAGACGTCCCATACAAAGCCCATACAAAGTGGTGTGCGTGCTGGAGAAGCTGCGATGAATCCTGTGGGAGCAAGAGGAAGGCAGGGAGAGACGGGTAGAGAGAGGAGGGATAGAAGAGAAAGAGGAGAGGGGAGGAAGGAGACAGGGATGGAGACAGAGAGGAAGGCAGGGAGAGAGGGGCAGAGAGGAAGGAAAGAAGAGAAAGAGGAGGGGGGAGGAAGGAGATAGGGATGGAGACAGGGAGGAAGGCAGGGAGAGAGGGGCAGAGAGAGGAGGGAAAGAAGAGAAAGAGGAGGGGGGAGGAAAGAGACAGGGGTGGAGACAGGGAGGAAGGCAGGGAGAGAGGGGCAGAGAGGAGGGAAAGAAGAGAGGAGGGGGTAGGAAGGAGACAGGGATGGAGGCAGGGAGGAAAGCAGGGAGAGAGGAGCAGAGAGAGAAGGGAAAAAAGAGAAAGGAGGGAGGAGGGGAAAGGAAGGAGACAGGAATGGAAGCAGGGAGGAAGGCAGGGAGAGAGGGGCAGAGAGAGGAGGGAAAGAGAAGAGAAAAAGGAGGGGGAAGGAAAGAGACAGGGATGAAGGAAGGGAGGAAGGCAGGGGGGAAGGGTCAAAAAAGGAAGAAGGAAGGGAATGGGAGAAGGAGAAAGAGGAGGGGATGGAGAGGAGGAAGGAATGATGGAAAGGAGGGAGAGAAGGATGGAGGACAGGAAAGGAGGGAGGCGAGAAAGAGGGCTTTGCGGAGGAAGAAGTACCTGTGCTGAATGAGGTGACAGGATTAAAGGATACATGGAAGCTCAAACTTTGAACAAAGCACAGGAGCCCCTTCCAGGGAGTTGCCCCCTCTGGGGAATTGCCCCTTCCAGGGAGCTGCACCTCCCAGGAGGTTGTGTGTGGGTCATCGGAGGATGGAGAGGCATGGAAGGCAATGGTGGGCAGCCGGGCTGCTAATCACCAAGGGCCTTGTCTGCTGTCACTGGTGTGATTTTTGTCCAGAATTGTCATTAAAATGAATTAAAAGCTCAAGCCAGTTTTTTCTGTGTAGCCCCTGCTCCTCAATGTGGGGTGTGGAGCCTGGCACATGGGTGCCCTGAGGGGGACCCCAAAAGACTCAGGGCTCTCAGACCGATGCAGAACTATCTGTGAATCCAGCTGAATATACAGCGACCCCAGTGCCCCTGTGCAGCCGGCCTGCCTGGGGACAGCTCTCCTCCTTACCACACACTCAATCTCGCCAGGTCCAGCTGCATCCCCCATCTCTGCAGCGGGTCTGCCCCGAGGAGTCACACACAGGCGAGAATTGTGTGAATTTAGGGCGAGGCAGTGCAACCTCAGCACTACCGACATCTGGAGCCGAGTCGCTTTCTGTCGTGGGAGCTGCCCTGTGCGTTGCAGGATGTGGAACGGCACCTCCAACCTCTGCCCATTAGACGTGGGTAGCATCCCCTCCGCCATGTGCCATACAAAAGCATCCCCAGACGTGGCCACGTGGCCCCTGGGGGACAGAATTGCCCTTGATTGAGAACCACGAATATGCATGGATCTGGGGGGTCCTGGACTGGACCTTCCGGCAGCCACGGGGCAGATGCCCTGTGCCAGCCCCTTCCCGAGGGAGGGGGGCCTCAATCAGCAGATACTCACAGGGCACACACCCTTAAAGGTTCAGATCCTTGATCTGGAAACAGCAGAAACTCTCTCTGTAAAGGGTTAGCCAGCACATACTTTGGCCACACAGGCACAAGCACTGGGGCGAATTTGGCTGGTGGCCCCTGTGGGCCTCTCCTTCTGCCCACGCGTCAGTGGGATCGTCCAGAGGCATGAGCCATAAGTGGTATCCTTGACGGGCGTCCAGCCGCCCCGACCCTACACCTGTGCCCTGCTGCCCCCTCCCACCTTGGATCACACACCCGGACCCTGGAAGGGGCCAGCCCGGTTGGCCTCTGACCTGAGGCACACTTGAAGCTCCGGATCTCTTCCTGGTCAGGGTGGGGAGTGTCTGGTGAGGAGGGGAAAGAGATTGACATTAGCAGGAAAGAGTGGGATTAATTACTGCCCTGAGTTAATCCCACTCTGGGGGAAAGCCATCAGAATGTGACAGCAGGGGCAGGAAAAGCCCAGGGCAGGTGGCTTATCAGAACCTGGCCACTCCACGTATCTGGCGGGAGGAAAGATAACTCCATTGTCAGGGGCACGGAGGTCCTCCAGCGCCTGTCTCAGCAGCCGTGTGGTCGGCCCCAACACACACAGCTGGCCTGGGACACCTTCTCCCCGAAAGCAGTCTACCCCCAGGGACCAGGCTGCCCTATTTATAGCTCTGCCTAAACCTTCTCAAGATGGCAATTTCATGCCCACCCGTAAATCTCTCCTTCCAAACGGGTACTTGTAGGTCAGTGGAGATGAAGCCAAGAACCAAAATTGCTGGACTCCCTCTCGGGTTGCTGAGGCAGAGACACAATTAAGATCCCAGCAAGGCAGCGGCCTGGGCTTTGTCCGAGGCCAGGACACGTCAACTGTGGGCAAGGGTGAGGCCTGGCGGTCAGGTGGGTGAGCAGGGCACCGCCTCTCAGGGAGGACATGAGGGCAGCCTCTGAGAGCTCAGCTGGTCGAGCCAGGCCAGTCGCAGGCACTCGAGTGAAGGCCAGATGTCCTGGCCCAGCACCATTGTGTGTGTTTCTCTCTGGGCAAGGACCAGGTGCTGCCCCCTGATGTGCCACAGTTCCGCAGCCACACGCCCACCCCGAGGTGCACACAGCGGGCTGTTCCGCATCCTCCCAGCACTGTGGCCATACAGAGGCATGAGGCCTCTCACCCAGGATCCGCTGTCAGGCTAAAAGCTGGACGTGCCATGAAGATGCAGCCAGCACCCCCAACGTGGGTCATCCCAGAGGGGCCTGGAGACAGTGGGAACTCAGGCCAGGTGCCAGGTGTCAGCGCAGCCTGGACCCGAGGCCTGGCCAGGTACCTCCCGGTGGCCAGCTGGCTGGGAGACCGTGGGAGCGTCCATCAGCTCCTTTGGGCCCCAGTTCCCCCAACCATAAAGGGTACATTGGACTAGACGGGCCTGGGTCTCAAACGCAGTATCGCCAGCCAACCCTGCGCCGGGTCCTTCTCCCGTCGGCCCACAGTGCTGGAGAGGATATTATCCTCAGGAAGTTGACAGCACAGGGGGCAGGGGCGGGGCTTAGGCTCAGATAACTCCAGGCTCAAGCCCTGGCTCCCATCTGATCATCCACATGTACTTCCTGAGCCTGCAAATTCAGGTGGCCCCAGACCTCGGCAGAAGCAATCTAGACTCCTGCTGGGCCACGCACTGAGGGCCCCGTGGGCAGGCACCCAACTGCTGAGTGGCACAGCCACTTCTCCCGGCTCTGTCTCCTCTTGGCCTCCTCTCTTCTCCCCTGGGAAGGATTAGAGCCGGGTCTGGTCTTCATGAAGCGGCGCTTTTTCTAATCCTGGTGAGGTCAGAGGCGGAAAGCCTGATGTGAT